GTTTTCCCCCTTACCTGCCCTGGTGTTGCTGCCAGTGGGCCTGGGGAGACTGCCTTAGCTTTGTGACAGCCGGGGCAGGGCCCTCTAGCTGGGCTGGAGCAGCCATCTGGGATGGAGGCTAGCCTGCTCCCCCCGTATGGGAGGGGGTTAGTGGGGCCTGCAGTGCATCTTGGGGTGCTGAGGCCTAACATGTGTCAGGAAGAGATCTGGAACAGAAGTTTGATTGACCAGTTTAAGCTAAATTGGTTAAGTCTGATACTACATCCATCCAGGGCTATCTTAAACGGGTTTTGGCCATTTTGAAAATGATCTATGTTCACTAAACTTCTGTTCTTTTACAAATTTAAAACAGTTTCCAATCACTTATACCGGTTTATGTGTGTTGTCTATCCCTAGCCTGTATGTTTATGTTGAATAAGCAATGAAATTGCTAACTAAAATAATAAAAAAAGTTTCAACCCAACTGAGTCAAAGGAGCCATACAAGTTGTCCTTTTGTTATCTCAATAGCAAAAAATGCAAATTGAACTTCAAAATCACTTTCTAGAAGGATCAGCTGGGTCTTTGAGGACAGTACTGTGTTCTTCAGGATGTTCACCAAAGGAGCTTGGGGTTTCACTTTCATATCAAGCAAAAACCTGTCTTTATTATGTCCATTTGACCTTTCTTTTCCTTTCTAGAGTTTACGTATGTGCTGGCATAAGGCCAGCCTAACCTTTGGTACAACTCCAGTATGCTTAGAAAGAGACTTCTCTCTTCCTTTTCCCCAGCATGGGCTCTCCAGCAGCAAAAAAAGCAAAACTAACCCGTTCTTTACTTCCTTCTTCTTACTCCCATGCTCTTATTAATTTACTTCCTTCTCACCATCTGCCATTATATACTAAAGTTACAGTAAGGGTTGGATTTGGGGTTTGAAATAGTTTAACTTTGACAAGATCTGTGCTTTTTAAAGTCCATGGGAGTTTTAGTGTACAATTAATTGGAAGTGGTTAGGTCAGTTTTGAGTACAGTCACATTTCCCACCCTAATATATTGATTACAGTTATTGAAATTGTTCTCTTACCTTCCAGGGTTAATGAAAGCTGACAAAATATTAGCCTTTTCATATTATACACTCTGCTCCTTCTTTTTAAAACAATCTATATTTTGTTTACACTCAGGCACTTAAGAATCATCTAAGTATTTTCAATCAAAATTCATTAAACTTGAGTTCATATAACTTTTAAGTACCAAAGTATATATACAGTCCCTTTGATTAATTTGTAAAGAAGGCAGCCTACACTTATGCTTTCACATTAAAGGACAACACCATCAGGGCTTGGCAGCCTTTCAAACAGGAGAGAAATAGTCATTGTAACACATTACATAATTCCCTTAGTCATGTTCCGCTATGACAATCCAGTCAGAACCTGACAGACTAGTTTGCTTGGTATCTACAAGCATTGTACTAGCAATTACCTTCTAAAACAAGCCTAACAATCATATTTGCTTGCAGACAGTACACCTCTCAAGTAAGATATGCATGTTGTTTTTTGGCAGGCAGAATGAAGAATAATAGATTGTTCCAGAATTACAGCTTGTTTGGAGCAAGGCTAGAGCCTAATATTCAGCTCACTACCCTTCTCCCTTTCTCTTTCCTGCTCAGACAAAATATACACTTTGAACCCTCTCACAGACATGGGCCTTATTGGCAGCAGGCTTTGGTTCAAAATCACAGGACTGCTGAACGTCCCATGGCATGTTGAGGAGTTGAGGGGGAAGGGAGTATGGATTCCCATGGTTTTCTACTCATCTGGGGGATTTCCCCTGCCTCAGACATTAGTGTGACCTATATTTGTGGGACATTTGCTTCAGCCCATGGCAATTTGCTCCTTTTACCTTCTGTTCCCAGAGGTAGTGTGTTTTGATAGCTATTATCTCAGCCACAAGAGTCAGTGAAATACTTGCCATTACTGTTAGTTTTCCAAATGTTGTATTCCATAAGGACAAGGGCACCCTTAGACACCTCCTGAAGTTCTTGCCTAACTACCTTTTTTTCTTCCCTAAACCCCATGTCAGAACAGGTGAAGTGAATATTCTTGTATTTGGAGAAAATATAGGGAGAGATAAAATCTTTCAAGTTCTATATAACATTTTGCAGAGAGTATTGAATGACAATCAGTTTCTACTCGCAGGTTATCTAAGTATCTCTCATCAGGATATACTAGCAAGTAATAAACACCACCTGCCCACCCCCCTGGCCATGTCAAGTCACATTCATTAGATCTCATCTAGCTTCTGCCAGTTTCTTCATAAATGTCTCAGTTCCCAAGATCTATAGATCTACTACCTGGAGTCTGTTGATTCATTTTACACTACTCTTTGGTGTAGGCTTCCAGATCTGTTATCCTTTTTGGTAGAATTCTTTCTATCCTCCTGCTGAGAGAACTGTTTGTAGTTGCTAAGAGTGGTATCTATATGGATATTCACTTAGTTACTTATCCTACAGCAGCTTGTTCTTTGAGGTTTGTTATCCATACAATTACAAAACCTACCCTACAACCCTGCTAATTGGAGTGTTTTTCTCTGGGATTTTGTTTGTCAAAGAAAATGAATGGCTGTTGGGGATGCCTCACCCCTTATATCCTCAGCTGTAATAGTCAGAAGAGTATGAAGAGAAACAGCTGATACCTCCATAGATAATGATGTTCAAAAAGAAATCTATCTTTTACACATGGGAAGCATACACAACAAGAGTAGAACCTGAGTGATCACATCTTGAAGAATCATAGAAGGGTTAATTTCAGTTGCATTAGAAACAGGGAATGGAAATAGTGAAAACCAAGCAAAGAGAAATGTTTGCTTAGTTGCTAACCTGTAGCTTGAAAAAAAAATGATAGGGACCCCCTAAAAGAAATAAAATAGTTGCTAAAATCAATTAAATGTTCTTTGTGTAATTTTTGCATATTTTAAAATCAGTCATAGGAAAGCACTTCTAATGCCATTGACCATTTTAACAACATGCACTATCAATAGCAACTCAAATATGATGCATCTTATTATCAGAAATACGTGTGTTATGTATCGCCGCTTTACATAGAAGAGAGAGGTTGATCTAATGCAGTGGTTCTCAGACTTTTAAAACTCAAAAGGCACTCTGTTTCCAAAAGTAATTTATTTATTACAGTGCTTTTTTTAAATCTTGTTGCACTCAACAGCATCCTTAAAAACATCTCCTGGCACCCCAAGTTTAAAACTATAAAAAAGCTATTAAAATGTTCAATAACATATGAAACGTGTATCCTCACCATTGGGTAATATTCAAGGTGACACCTGACAAAATTTACAAATTATGTTCAGCACAATGAAATCCTGCCACAGTGCATAGGATGGATTTGAATGGACCTGCGGTGGATTTAAGTGGTCCTATTAAGAAGCTCACCCAACTTCAATAATTGTTTATTATGAGACCTTATAACCAAATGTTAGCTTACTGACCAGGCCTTGCATAGACACTTAATGTCTCCTGCAGGAGTCACTGCTTTCCCAGGAGAAAATATGAGGATACAGATATTCAGGATTTTTCTACTAGAGCAAAAATGGCCATTTCAGGAGAGAAATAACCCAGGAACAACCAGGGTTAAATCACTCCCAGGAGAGTTTCTCCTGGAAGAGCAAATGTCTGTACTTTACCTTTCTGAAAGAAGCCACAGCGTAGTCTGTTCTCCAATATCCCAGAGAACTTTGCTCCCCTTCTTCCCCCCTCTCCCCCCCAAAAAAAGTAAACTGCTTGGGCTGGCTGGACTCCCAAGCAGGGAGCAGAACATTCCCTCTTCATAATCTCACAAGGTGCAGCAGAAGACAGGTTGATTCTGAGCTGTCTGGGTCACCCACTCAGGGGTTCCCTTTGTACTGCTGTCATCTTTTGCTAGAAAGACTGAGGGAGTCTGCAGAGTACACTGAGCTGTGTGTACAGGGCCTCCTTGGTTGTACAGCATCAACACTGCAAGTTCTGTGCTCTTCAAGGCTTAGCATTCAAATGTACATTCAGGCATCCCTGGGTAAGTTTTTCTACCAGGAGAACAACCCTGGGAGAATTCTTAGAGGCCATTTGAATGTGTACATGCAGCCTAAGATCACAAAATGAATAGGGCTTCAATACATTTCTACAACCAAATCAAAAAGTAGACATCCTTTAGAAAAATAAAGGAAAGACAGCAGTCATCACTGCAGTCAATTCAGTATTTTAATTCAAGCAGAGCAAAGGTAGCTTCAGTAGTATAGCAGTTAAAACAAGTGAGAAACATAGGAAACATAAAGAGTATCTAATATCAACAAACATTTTCTTCCCTATTGTTTAAGAATTTCTAGTATAGTAGATGCCTCCTTCCCCACCCCGAGTCTGTACCTGAGGTGGGCAAGCACAGCTCCCAATGCCATGGCTGCTCCAGGAGCTCGCACTCTGACAACCAGCCCACATGGCCCTTTCCACAGCCCCAGTGGTGGGGGGACCAGTTGAGCTGAAAAACCCAGCTTCTTCCTGCCCACAGCAGAGTATGCTGCTTAGAATATGGTGGCTGGGAGCAGAGTAGCAGCTGCAGATGCCACTTGTCCATGGGACAATGGGTGGTGGGGAAGGAGTGAGCACCCCAGCACCCTGGTTGAAAATCACTGATCTAGTCAATAGGATACAATAGGAGTGAGGAAGTCTAGTTCTTCTCTTTCCTTTTTTTATACACTTGTTGCGGGGCTTTCGATAACGCACTCAGCTTTTCTGTGCCCCAGCATTTTTGCAAACTAAGCAGTTGGACGTCATCACCAGGTATGATCATCTTCATCACCACAGTACTTATCTATTTGAGACAGGTGGTAAAAAAACAGTAGGGAATTTGGAAGAAAGTTATACAAATAAGTAAACTTTTTCAAGTCTATCAGTTTGGGGATTAGTTAAATTGCTGTACATTAGCTGAAACTTTCTATCTAATTTATTGGATATAAAAATCTTGCTTTTTTTATTTGCAGTTAAGCTATCAGCTGAAGGTGGGTGTCATGTACTGCAAAGGTGGACAGAGCACAGAAGAGGAAATGTACAACAATGAATCAGCAGGGGCAGCCTTTGAAGAGTTCCTTCAGCTGTTAGGAGAACGAGTTCGACTGAAGGGGTTTGAAAAGTATCGTGCTCAGCTAGACACCAAGAGTAAGACGGCCTTCTTTATTTTTTTCCAATTCTAACAAAATATGTCATGATCAATAATTGATACTTTTCTCACATTTCTTTTAAAAAAAATCTCCTTCTTTGCTACAAACTAAAAGTTGTTCTCTATCAAACATCATAAGTGAAAAAAGCAAACACAAAATAACTCATACCTACCTGGTTTCTCATCGCTTTAATAACAAATCATTGCACTTTTACAAATATTCAGCTACAAAGTGATAGCTAAAACTGCTATGTAAAGGTGTTCCAAAAATCCAAAGTAAAAAATGAGCGTCCTATGGAATTATTGTTAATGTGTTGGCGCATTACACTACATGACAGCACTGCGTCAGTTCTGCGTTATTAACTTCAATATTAATTTCTTTGCGTTTTTGATGATATCTTAATGATCTTTCTTCACCAAAAACAACGTTTTAAGGATCCAAGTTTATAATCTCACCTTGGTAAATTAATAAATTGATTTTATGCCGTGACCAGCTTGTAGTCTGCTTCCCCTAGGCATTTATGTTGTGTTGCTTCTGCTGAATTTATTCTAGTATATTCTTTTTTATATTTTTATAGAGTTTGTCTCTGTGAACTAAACTATATTAGGGCAACTGTGCCCACCCAGCTTTGCCATAAAGCAAAGGGTTGCAGAAAAGCAGTTGAAAAAGATTTAATGCAGCATTATCTGTAAATGTAATATTCCGCTCTTGAATGAGGGGGACAACATAAATTTTATGAAATATATTTATCAGACAATACATGTTTTGTTTGCCTGTTTGTGCTCTCTTTTAAAATCTATTTAAAAACTCAAATACCTGAGACCCATTTTTGACTAATTTGATTAACCCCATTTGTATTGAAGTCCATTGTTATCTTCCTAACTTGCAGTAAAGGAACTTAACCTGAGTCATGAAAGAAAAAAATAAAATTCAGTGTAGCAAAAAATGGCCTGTTTCCATGATTCTGCTACCCTCAGCAGTGTAACAGGTAATTGAGAGACTATAAAAAATGTGAAATAGCCCTTCTTAAATATTACCTTAAAAGCATGTTTTAAGAACACACAAGGGCCTTCTTCAGTCATTGAGTCCAGTCTCCTCCTATTGCAGGCAACTGCATTATATATAATCCCATTTATAAAGTTGTAACGCTCCATCTTGAAGCTAGATAAGTTATTTGCCCCCACTACTTTTATTTGCAGGTGCATAGTGGCAGAACAGTTAAGGCATCTCTCTACCAATGTAGAGGCATGCTGAAGGCCATACCCAGTCAACCCAGTTACCATTAAACGGTCATCAAATGGTTACCAAGTAATATCGGATGATGAATCAGAGGGGGCCCAGTGTGATGGTAGTCATGTCATTCTTTTGTATGCTCTTATACACTCTTTTGTACACTCTTAACTACAAAAACTGGCATGCCTTAACTGTCCTAGCCTAATGCACCATCTGAACTTGAGATGTACCTATAACCTTGACTACTATTAGAAGACTGTTCTGCAACCAAGCTCTCCTGTTGTTTAAAAATCTTCTAGTTTTCAGCCTAAATTTATTCATAGTTAATATATACCTATGTGTTCTTGTGTGCTACTATTGTTGTTTAACTTATATAGCTACTTTTCCACTCTGGTTTTTACCTTGTTGATGTATTCATGAACAGGAATCATGAATAACATCATTCAGTTAGTACTGAAATGCTCCCTGCCTTCGTTTTATCAAGGTAAACAAGCCATGACCTTTTAGTTTTATGAGAGCATCTTCATTTCCGTGGATTTTCCTAATAGCCGTTTTCTTATACCTGTTTGAATGCCCAGTTCCTATACCTAGTTTGCATTCCTTTTCTTTAAATGTGCTTGACCAGAAATGTATCCACCATTCCAGATGAGGTCTTACCAGTGTCTTGTTCAAAGGCATTAATAATTTCATCTCTCTGCTGGAAATACCTCACTTGGTATATCCTGGTATTGCATTTTCCTTTTTCACAGCTGCATCATGTTTATTATTTTTATAACCAGTAAATAGTGTCAAAATCAACTACATGAAAGTACATTACCATCTTAGAGCAGTCAGTATTCAGCTGTGTCAAAGTAGTGTCATCTAACCCAGTTTTTCTATAATCAGCTACAGCTGAGATTATGTAGGAGGACATGGAAAGAGCTAGGGAGGGGAGAAGCAAATATTTTGATTCCTGATGGGTGTTTTAATGGGTGAATGAATGATCTTTCTCTAGTATTTTTTTCCCATTTGAACTGGGCTTGTATTAGAACTTGCATTCAGAATTGACAAAAGTTCACTCCTCAAATTCTTACAAACAGATAAATCTGTTAAATGCAAATGTTGTAAACTCTTCAGATTGTGCATTAATCTGCAAAATTAATTGTTGCAACAATATGCTGTAAGGATGGTTTTCATAATAATAAGTAAATAATACTTTGGTAAAGCATATCTTTGTTAATAAGGGAAGCAATCACTAGATAAATATTTTAACTCTGCACCTGAAAAAATATTGCAACATATCTGGCATTGGTAGATGTTGAAGCAGGTTTAACATTTTCTCAAGTTTTAAACCTAGATGTTCATGCTGGTGTTCTGCAGGTCATTAAAGTATGTTGCATTAGTATTTCACATTAGCAGGCCTCACTTTTGTTGTCTAAAATAATGTTTTCCAACTGTGTTCCATGGAACCTGGGCTTCCACAATAGGTCACCAGAGGTTCCACAAAGAGATTGGAGGTAATGGTGGAGTGGGCCAGGTCACCTGGCTCTGCATCATTCTTTAGGATAAGGTTAGGGATAGGGGGTTCCACTACAGAAGAAATTATATGAAAGGGTTCCATAACCTTAGGAAGTTTGAAAACCACTACAGAATAACTCTAAGCTGAAATTGTATGATTTCCTGCAAAATTGAGCATTAGAGAGTGATTTTATGATTCTGTCCCTACTATGGTATTTCCATTCTAATATTATAAAAGCCTACATCTGTCTGTCTATCTGTAACACTTTATTTGCACTCTGATTGGCTGACGGAAACAGCGAATCAAAGTGCTCCATGTGTGGGGGAGTGCCGCCATGATTCTGAAGGACCAGACAGAGAGTGGGGGAGCCGAGGCCAGGAGTGCAGCATGGGCCATTAGGTGGCGGCACTCCATCCTAGCCCTCCCGCCCCCTCCCCCCCGGTCATTCTTGATGGGCAATTGGCTAGTATACTACAGAATTGTAGTATTCTACCTGCAGACTACTTTGAAATATCTTAATTCAAAGATTTGTTTCTGATGTATTCTTGTCATGTAGAATTGCTGATATATAAAACCCACAAAATACCATACATCATGTTGTTCTTGTGATGCTGTGTTTTGCTTTTACAAAAATTGGTAAGTATATGTTCCAGATGGAGCAAGCATACATTTACATTGCATGAAGGGGCACAGGAAGACTATATTATGATAAATTGTGAGGCTAGGGCAATCACACAGAGCAGTCTGGATCATTTATGTGAATGGGACAAGTCTACCAAAATGCATTTTAACAGAATCGAAGGCAAACTGAAATGTTTGGGAACGAGGAATGCAGGCTATGTTTGCAAAATAGGAAGTGTTTTGGAAGACATGACACTGAAGTATTGAGAGGTCATAGTAGACAAGCAACTCAATAGGAGCCTCCTGTGCAATAGTGAGGTAAAGAGAACTAGATAAATTGGGCTATAGTAAGTACAGAATGAACAGAGATTTTCCTCTATAAAGACAACCAGCAAAAGGAATACTGCATGCAGTTCTGGCATCCCCGTCTTGAAAAGAATGTTGAAAAATTGGAGAGAATGCAGAAAAAAGCCACAAAAATTATTCAAGGTTTAGAGAAAATGTCTACATCAAGAAATTCAGAGTTTGGTCTGTTAAGTGCAACAGAAACACTGAGAAGTCAGTTGATTACAGTGAATAATTACCTTCATGAGAAGCTTGGGCTGTTTAATATAGTGGAGAAGGGTATATATAACAAGGACACATGACTAAGCTGAAGCCAGAAATTAGGGAAAGTTTTTTTTAATGGCAAAAGTGAGTAACTACTGGATCAAACTACAGAGGGAAATGGTGGACTTTCCATTCTAGATACAGTATCTTGAAATCAAAATTGGATGTCTTCCTGAATGATATACAAGTTGTGCTGCAGATAAACACAAATTTTGGGGCTTAATAACACGGGTAAGAGGGCAAAAATTAACAGTTTATGGTATGTAAGAGATCAGACTGTCTGATGGGAACTAATGGTTCTTTCTGGCCTTAAACTCTGGAAATACTGCTCCTCCAGAGAATGGAAATCTCAGCCACCCTCAGCAGACAGAGCCTTCTAGAAAATGACAGATTGCCTCTGCTGCCTTCTTAGAGGCTAGCAAAATGAGTTTTAACAATGTTACAGAATCGTATCTTGTACTGGACACTTTGTCAGCACTATTAAGAGCAGAGTCCATAGTTAACATAATTGCTTCCAGTTTACAGCAGCAGGAACTCAAAAATAATAATGGTCTTCTGTTATCTAAGAAATAACTAGGTTCAACAGCTGTCTCCTAGTGACACCCAGACAACAGTTGTGCTCCGTACTTCTACACAGCCTTACATCTACAAGATGTTCTGTACTCAGTGGTTGATAATCTCTCCACATCCCTATAGAAACATTACAGGAGAAGTCCTGTGTGCTGCTACATCCATCAGTGTCTGCACACCTGACTGTGCTGATTAATAAGCAAGCAGTTGATGAAGTCAGCAGAACATCGCAGGCAGATGCCAGCATATGTTACACCTACCCCTTAAAAAAAAACAAAAAACAAGACAGCTGCTGCTAGGTACATTAATCTGGCTTTTACAGTGTCCTTGGTTGTACAGGCTGTATATGTGAAAATCAGGCACTAAGAACCATCAAAAGTCCCACCTTAAGAAAGATTTAAATAGATTTATTTAGAGGAAAATTATTTCTCACCAAGTTTGCAAATATGGTATTGCCTAAGTATTTT